TCTAGCTGGTCCTGCTTTTCTTTCAACCCTTTCCCCTTTCTCTGTACATGGTCAGTACACTTGTTAAGCAAACACCCTCCGGTTGGCAACCTCATCAGCCGATGGGCTTACAATAGCTTGTCAGATCAATCTTTGTGCTCAGGTCTGAAGAAGGATGTCTCTGTCCCCTTGATGTGGGAGAGTTGTGAATGCGTGAAACTTCAGCTTTGTGCATCTCTGGACCTCACTGATGGTTTGTATATTGGATAACTATACAGAAGCTTTGACTGTCTTTAACTGTTTGCTGGCTTGCAGACTGATGCAGTGAACCATATTTATGCCTGGCTGTTAGTCTCTAGGCAGACTAAGAAATATTTGATTCCCTAGCTCTTGAGGATGGCCAAAATCTTGTTCAGACAGGCTAAAAAGAGACTGTTGAACAAATTCCTGCATATTTCCCATGTTCAAGCTTATGTTTGCTTGTTCTCTTGCTTTTCTGGACACGCAGCAGGAAAATAGTCTAGTTTGTTACTTAGCAAAATCCCTGTTATCTTGTTCCATTTAATTTGAGCAACTTGATGCTGCTTGAAGTGGTGTGTTTTACAGTGAATATTTGGCTATCTTAAAATTGGTGCTTCATTTCTAGTCTGACATGTTTATGAATGTCTTTTAATGTTTCTTTTGATAGTGATTTGTGAGCCTGGTGCTGTGGCAGGTGATTTTGAACAGGCAGCTTTTGTTTTTAGTTTGATTTTTCTTTTCCTGGACCAAAGCCGTAAGATTCTCTTTCACATCCAATACTGCTTCCACTGAGTAGCTGTTTTCTTTTAATGAAAGCCTTAATAATCAGCACAGTATCAAGTGATTTGATCTGCATTGTTAATGCAATTGCCAGTGTAAGACTCTGGTGAAGTCTGACCTCTCTGTTTGATTACCAACAGTTGATATTGAAGATGTGAGTATGTGTGCTATGCTGTCACCGCAGCTCCCTTAGAAAGGAGACCATTTATTTTCTTTCTGTGACTGAAGAGCTGTGTCAGGCTTTATGCTTTGTTCTCAAGTTGAGAACTAACTGTAAGTAGTTCCCCTACTAGGAGCACCAGTTGAATGGCTGACTGTAAGAGCTTGTGAGTTAGCAAGAATAAAAGGCATTTTATTAATGAACTTTTTTACCAGAGCTCATTTGACTGACCAGTGTTAATGCAGACCAGGAGCTAGTTTGGACTGCTGCAGTTATAAGTTATTTTCATAATATGAATACTTAGAGCAACAACGTTTAGATTGCCAGCCTTAATCCTGATTAAACTTGGAAGCAGTTGTGTTAAGTGAAAAGTCTGTAAATTCTTCCCAGTGCTCTTCAGGTTTGCTGTGTGTTGTTTGATATGTACTGGGGCCAGTGGTGTTCAATATCTTCATCAATGACACAGCGGGATCGAGTGCAACCTCAGCAAGTTTGCAGGTGACACCAACCTGAGTGGTGCAGCTGACACGCCTGAGGGACGGGATGCCATCCAGAGGGACCTGGACAAGCTGGGGAAATGGGCTTGTGTGAACCTCATGAGGTTCCACAAGGACAAGTGCAGGGTCCTGCGCCTGGGTCAGGGCAATCCCCGGTATCAGTACAGGCTGGGGGATGAAGGGATTGAGAGCAGCCCTGAGGAGAAGGACTTGGGGGTACTGATAGACAAAAAGCTGGACATGAGCCGGCAACGTGCTATCACAGCCCAGAAGGCCAACCATATCCTGGGCTGCATCAAAAGAAGCATGGCCAACAGGTCGAGGGAGGTGATTCTACCCCTCTACTCTGCTCTGGTGAGACCCCACCTGGAGTACTGTGTTCACCTCTGGGGTCCTCAGCAAAGGAAGGACATGGACCTGTTGAAGCAGGTCCAGAGGAGGGCCACAAAAATGATCAGAGGGATGGAACACCTCTCCTGTGAGGAAAGGCTGAAAGAGCTGGGGTTGTTCAGCCTGGAGAAGAGAAGGCTGCAGGGAGACCTTATTGTGGCCTTTCAATACTTAAATGGGGCTTCTAAGAAAGATGAGGATGGACTTTTTAGCAGGGCCAATAGAGATAGGACAAGGGGTAATGGCTTTAAACTAAAAGAGGGTAGATTCAGACTAGGTATAAGGAAGAAATTTTTTACGATGAGGGTGGTGGAACACTGGAACGGGTTGCCCAGAGAGGTGGTAGATGCCCCATCCTTGGCAACATTCAAGGCCAGGCTGGATGGGGCTCTGAGCAACCCGATCTAGTTGTAGATGTCCCTGCCCATTGCAGGAGGGATGGACTAGATGACCTTTAAAAGTCCCTTCCATCCCAAAGCATTCTATGATTCTATATACCGTGCACATTGGGCTTCCATTTTATTTTCTCTGACATTTTTGTTAGCTAAAGCAAAGGTCTTCCAGGGCAGCTGGAGCAGGTTTGGGAACAACTGTTACTGAGGATGGCTGTGTGCATGTAGTAGTGAAACGTGTTCATATAGGAGCTCCTATTGTGGAACTGCTCTGCAAGTGACTTTTCTATGAAGGCTGCTGTATGAAGAGGAAGACAATCTTGTAACCAAGAAGCTATTACCTGATTTTCTACTTACAGAGCCTGCTGCTTCATTGTATTGGTTCAGTTAGCTCAATCTTAGTAAATAATGATGAATGAATGTATTCTCTTAAAAATCACCCACAAGTATTAATATACTTGTTACAAAATGGAAGCTCTATAGAAGTTTTGGGTTAGGCTGCTTGAAAATTTCACTTGGCTCCAAATAGATTGGGCAATTGTAATTGGGCAAGGGTCCACATTAGTGAAATGGAAACAAATTCATAGGTGGGATTTTTTTTTTTTAACTGAAACTTTGTAGCTACCACAGGCTATTTGCCCCTTAAAAACATCTTTTCCACCAGGGAAGAAGCAACTTATAAGTCTAATGAGAATTGTATTGCAAGAACTCTGTAAGCATTCTAAAAAATTGTAATGACTCTGGTTCTGTGTTTGTGCCTTTTAACTTCATTTCTGCTTCATTTTGGAGCAGGGGGGAGAGGATGGGTAGAGCAGTTGTATCAGGGGAATTCAGTTTTTTTCTTTTTACAGTGAGACCAGTGAAGTTCTGCAGTACACAGCAACTGAGGCAGAGGACGTGGAGAAGGTAAGAATTTGTTGCATATATGGATTTTTTTTTTTTTAACTTCAAGATTGAAAATGTAAAGAGAACTTGTTGTCCTAGATGACAAACTTAGTTAACTTAATGCATTTAGTGTTTGTTGCTATGGCAAAGATCTGGGCTGGGTCTGTACTAGAATATTTCGGTGAGCGAGTGTCATTTTGTCAGAGTGGAAATCCTACCCCTCATCCTTTTGCCAAGGTACCTGGCTATCTGAGCAAGCAAAGCCCCCTATAGACCACATGATCATCACTAATAATTTTTACAGTGTCTTTTGTCTGATGTAACTTATGGTGGGTGTTTCCAGACTTGGTTTGTTTTTCCAAGCAAATGCTGTGAGGGAGGTGGAAGCAACATTTCCTGAGTCTCTGCTGAGCTGTGCAGTGTTTGGCTGTTCAGTCAGCATTCCTGTTTGAAGTGGCTGATGGGATGGGCAAGGGTCTACATAGCTCAGTTTGGGAACTAGTGGCACTAACCAAGAAGTAAGTCACCCCCAGCATTCAGCTGAGACTTTGTCTACCAGTATAAGGTCTGTCCCTGTTGGCTTTTGCTGTTGTACAGGTTCCTATGTGATAAAATAGCTGTTGTTTTCTAAAAGCTAGTCATTTGGATATAGCAAACAGGTGGATAACCAGAGCTGTTATAAGCATTGTCACCCTGGGTTATTCATCTGTATCAGCTAGCATGTGGTATCTAAACTGCAGTTTTTTCTCCAAATGGTTTTGCCAGACACATTAGCCCTGGACCAAGCCAGATAAATTGCCTTTTCATTGCTAGAAATAAATCTGTTATTATGTGACAGGATTAACATGAAATTACTGCTTCCTCCTATTCCACAGTGTTATTTTTTGGAGTAGGTGTAATATATTTGCCTTATTTCAGCAAACATTCTTGCTCATTCAGGGTTACTAGTGGGATAACAGAAGCCTTTTGCTTCCCCACTGTTAACTTTTCTCTGTAGCTGCTGTCCCCAGCTGAGAAGAGCAACGAGGTTTTTATAATTCTGGACAGGTTTGTAGTGGGCCTATTTCAGTTCTAGGGATGAAAGTTACATGGTGAATCCCTCAAAGCTCACTTGAATTCTGTAGTATCAATAAGGATCCCAGCTGCACTAAAAATATCTTTTCAGATATGTTTTGCTGATTTTAATGTCTTCATCTTCTGTGTTTCTTGTTTTGAAAGATCTGATAAACCTATTCTAGAGTCCACTTAATGCTCTCCTTTTCTCTGTTAGAGGGGAAATGAAATACGAGGCTGGTTATATTGCTTTTTGCTTTAGGAAATAGGTCCAGACCTTTGCACAGCAGTATGTTATTAATTCTTAAATCAGCTGGGAAGAGGGAAGTGGCAGGGTGATTACCCTGAGATGGAAAATTTACTGGTTTGGGAAGGGGAGAAGTTTGGGAAAGTGTAACAGGCTTTCCCACATCAGATGCAAAAGGAAAACAACATTTGTTTCAGTATACCAGCACCTGTCTACCCACCTGCACTGCATATGATATTCAGCAGGTAGCAGGCCATCTTACTGCAGAGGTTTGTGTGTAGTTCTGTGGGGGCACTTCCATCTTGCCATGGGACAGGTCTTAGAGCCTTTCCTAGCTAAGCCTCCAAGTCAGTGCGTAACTAAAGATCCATAAGCCCAAACTTGGCATTCATAGTGAGGGAGGTTTTTGACTGCTTACTGCCTTTGTGGAGTTCTTTTTTTAAAAAAAAAAAAAAAAAGTATGTTTGAACATTTCTAGATGTTGCAGGAGGCAGCCTGTTACTGCTGTTCTCACTCACTGATGGCCTGGGGTTGACTGGGGTCAAGTTAATTTTCTTTGCAAGAGCCCATATGATGCTGTGCTTTAGGTCTAACCGAAACAGTGTTGATAATGCACCAGTATTTTAGCTATTCCTGAGGAGTGCTTGCACAGCATCATGGCTGTCTCTGTTTCTCACTCTGCCCCCTGCAATTAGGCTGGGGGTGTGCAGAGGTTTGGGAGGGGGCACAGCCAGGACACCTGACCCGGACTGACCAAAGGGATATTCCACCCCATGTGACGTCATGATTAGCAATAAAACTGCGGGGAGGTTTTTTCCACACTAGCAGTTGCTGAGAGCAATCTTGGGAGCAAGGGGCTGGAA